CTAAGACTTGTGAATATTATATACTTAATGAGTAGAAATTTTTCAGCAGTCACGGTTGAGCTCACGATGAGGTCGACTGGGCATTGCGGATATGCGATAATTCGTGAATATGTACTAAACAGGCATCACGGTTGAGCTTAAGATAAGTTCGACTGGAACTTGGGAATATGATATACTTTATGAGTATATCTTTTGCAGGCAGTCACAGTTGAGCTGACGGTAAGTTCGACTGAGGCTTGCATATATGCGATAATTAGTGAGAAAATATTTAGCCATGTTATTTATTGAGACACGTCATCATACGAAACAATATTTTTGGCAAAAAATTGTAACACAAATTTCACATTGAGTGAAAGTATCAAAAATAAAAGTTATACAAAGTAGATATTTAAATGTGCTTCTTTATTTATTTATATAAAAAAGAGTTTATTATTGTTGGTGTACGGAACCCTTGAATTAGAGCGAGTGTAACTCGCACTTGTCCGATTTTGAAAACTGACATGAATAAAAAAATGAAAATTGAACAAGTTTGACAAACAAATTATAAATTTATTTTCTAAATATTTCTTTTCTGATAAAAATAATAATAGAAATTAATAATAACAGTTATTAATAATAATAGTTATTATTATTGTTTTTATTGTTACATTATTTTATTACTACAAAGTTTTCTTTTTTTTGCTGTCAAAAATTTGAAAATTCCAAATTTTCGCGCGCTGGTTCAATTCCATTCCGCTGTTCTATTGTCGAACTCCGGTCTTCGCTCAAGACTACTGAAGTCAGTAATGCGCTTGCGCTGTATTTATATTTTGTGAATTTGACAATTTTTTTTTAAAATTATTTTTAATATTTTCAGTAATGATCAGTATTTTATGGTCTTTCCGCGTGAGATTTGTTATATTTGTGTAAAATGCAAAAAGTATCATCTTTCTAGCTATTTGGCATTTTCCAGGAAAAGGTAGGAAAAATTAAATACGTATTTTTAAGGTTAGGGCGGCTTACCGTGATCCTTAAAGTCAGCACCAAATTTTCACTCCCCGCACGTCAGCCGTACCGACAATTTCTGACGGTAGTGTACGTTACAAAAATTTCATTATAATCCTTGCTATGAAAAGTATAAAAAATACATATTGCTTATAAAATTTTTATTAAAAATTTTTTTCACAATTAAGTTTATGTAAAAGAGTGGATATTTATTGACTACCAATAAAATTGACAATAATAATTTCCAGCAAACAACATTTAAGTTATTAATTTTTTTAAAAATGATGCAAAATTTTGTTATTAGGTAGGTATAAAAAATTTTTAATTTTGAAAAACGGTTTAAAGTATTTTTTGGTTTGTTGTGAGCTGCAAATTTTCATAATTGCTTTTATTTTTCCAAAAATCTACCAAATTTTTACTAAAGGTTGACGTTGTTTCATTCTATTATTAATGAAGTATCTGTCTGTGAAAGTTTAGTTCCAGGTCCCAATCAGCACATAAGCTTGCAAGACCTTAAAACGATGCGCAGTCGAATTCTATGGGACCTACGGTTGATTTTGTTAAAAGTAGATTTTGTTAAAAACCTATCTTCAAGAAATTCAAGAGCATTATAATGGTGACTCAAAATTATGGATGCATCTTTTTTTGTGCATCTAAAATAATCAAATGCAATTCTGCAGATAATCCCTTTCCAAGTAATGGAATTAATGATACGAGCATCTGATACAAGAAGAAAGTATGTATGAGACACAGGCGTGGTTCATTTGTTAAAGCTGTATGCTAGGCTAACCAAATATAATATAATGTGAAGTTATATTGATCTGTGTGTGTTTTGATATTTTAATGATTGATTTATCAATAATTGAGGAACAAGTTTTCAAAACCTGATAAATCCATATTTTTTTATTTCGAGAAATTCAAACAACTGACTTTCCACACATAACCACCAGAGTTAATTTTAAAATAAAAAATTTATAATAATTTATTTCTATAACAATGTTTTTATATTCAATACGTTATATTTCTAATTGAACTTTGTCATAATTGAGTGATTTACAGGTTTTGGTAATTTTTTCTAATATAAAACATACAAATTGTAAATCATCTTGGTTATGTCAATAAGTTTTTGAATTAAAAATTTGTAATTAATCAATTTTTTTCCATAAATTTAACAGTGACAGATCGATTTGTGAGGTCCTTAAAATATTAAATTTATGGTTGTCTCCATTTTTTTCCAAAATGGATTTATCAAGTTTTAAAAATTTGCTCCTCAATTATATAAGAATAATAAAATAAATAGAAAATACGAGGCAAGTTATAAGACAAAAATTATATAATTTATTTCCCCTTTATTAAGTGACTTTTTACGCATTGTCAAAAAGTTATTCTGAATCCGACACAGAATTTTTAGTATATATAGATGTAGGGGAAAAGTGCCGGTTGTGGGCACCCCAATGTAATTTTTAACAGCAAGTAGATATTGCTGATCTAAATACGACAAACTTGTATATTGACAGTACACTGTTTTTGTGTTAACACCAAAGCGATACGCACATTTTCATAGAAGCAGTGAGCATAATGAAAATACCTTAAAAAATTGAAGACAAATGTTATTTTCTACTTTTTTTCCAAGTGTGTTAAATAGGTGTGAATTATTTCAAAAACGTGAATGCAATTTTTTTGTGCAGTTTTTACATTATATTTTGTGATTCAATTTCGGATTCGACCAAAATATCAGCACTACAGAAAATGTTGGATTCTCCAAGGGTGCCCACAACCGGGTACAACTTTTTTCCACTAAAAATGGTCACTTCACTAAATTTTTAATAAAATCTTCCTAGTTGAAGGAATCAATTTAGTTCCTTTTTTAACAGTTACCTAAGACCTCTAGATTGACACTGATACGCACAAATCACATAATATACATTTAGTCAAAAGTTATGAGCCATAAACAAAAGGGTGCCCACAATCGGTACTCTTCCCCTATATATTCTGTTATAATTAGTAAATTTAGTGTTTTTAATTAAAGAATGCCATTTTCATCGATATTATAGGAAGGAGAGCAGCTGGGATTTTCAGCAAAATTGCATATGACTATTTTAGATGTACTTGAAAAGATATAACCACAAATTTTGGATAACCACTTTAATAACTTTTGAATTTGTTAAGGAGAAGAGTGTTTACCTCCTAGCTGTAATGCTTAGATATATTCAAAAATAAGTCGTATCTCAAAAAACAAAATTAAATATTACAGTTGCATGGCAAGCTTGCAAACTTTGCAAGGTAAGCTTACTGCAAATATGTTGCAAGCTTATGTGCTAATTGGGAAATCATGAGGTCCTTGAATCCTAACTTTTTCTTAAAAGGGTGAAGTTCCAAAAATGTCACCAAGATATCTTTAGGATGATTTTAGAACTTTCCAAAGTGTCCTAGGACATTGCGTCAATGTTCCAAAGACATAAAAAAACGACTTAAAGAGGCCCAAATTATATTCTATATGTGCCCCAAAACAGTCTTAAAAATGTCCTGAAATTGTCTCCAAAATGTCTTAATTATGTCTTCAAAAAGTCCCCAGAATGTCCTCAAAATAACCCCGAAATGTCAAAAAATGTCTTAAGAATGTCCTGAAATTGTCCTCAAAATGTATTAAATACGTCTTCAGAAGGTCCCCAAAATATCCTAAAAATATCCCCGAGATGTCAAAAAATGTTTCTAAAATGTTCCAACCATATCCTGAGAATGTCTCAAATATCTCCTGAGAATGTACCAAAAATATGCTGAAAATGTAAGGAATGTACTAAAAAGTTTCAAAATATTTGATAACAGAAATGAATATTACATTGAAATTATGTATACTTCATAGTCTAAAGAACGCGTAATGTAAAGGTTATTAAAGTCTTAAACACCGGACGACCCACAACACTGAAGTGCTCTTGAAGATCCAAATAGACAAAAAAAGTGTATCGCAATTACTGCTCATATATATTGATCCTTATGGGCTAATTCGCCGAAAAAAGAATTATGTTCTGAGAGTATACTAAAAATGTCCAACTAACTTCTTTGTAATATCCTCAACATGCCTAAAAAATGTACTAAAAAGAATCAAATTTTTTCCATAATTTTCAAAAATATCCATAATATTTCTTAAGGATATTTTTATAACTGCTCTAGGCCAAGCATAGAACTTGTTTAGGATGTCTTTATTTTATTCTTTTTGACATCTATAGGATGCCTTTTTAGGGACATTTTTGGGATGTCTTAAGGATATCTTTAGAACGACTTTTTAACAATGTCCCAAGAACGTTGCGAGAAGGATGTCCTTGAGATATCCAGTGGATGGCCCTGCTCATTGGGAGGTGATAACCGTTTATTTTCCGTGAGTGAAACTCAGGCCTACCGCAATGTGTGCCTCACGCGAGGTCCTTTCATAGGCCCGAGCCGGTAAAGTAGGGGTATAATACTTCTTCTCACTGGAGTGGAACGGCTACTAAAGAAAACTTGTAATAGTCCTAGGCACGAAGTAGTATAAGGAGATCCAACGTTGTACATATGAGTGGTTCCGCGTTGTGGGTTTGCTTTAGATCTGAAAAAGGCACTAAGCGATGACAGCGCCACTGCGGGAAAATGGAGAAACAATAATAAACATAGCCGGAATGGCTTTTAGCAAAATTAAAAATAAATTATTTAATAAAAGAAATAAATTAAAAAATAAATAAAATTGTTCAAAAATAAATTAATAACATATGAATATTAACATAAATAATATGATGCGAAAGTAAATTAATAACGTACGTGATTCATAAGGAGAAAAATAAAACAATCTTTTTAAAGAAGCACTGAAGTGATAGTTTCATTATTAAAATAAATAAAATTTTTAAATATTTAACACAAGTTAATACTTTTTTGCGATTTAACATTCTGAAAGTAAAATGTAATTTAAAATTATAAAATACTTTATACGAAAGAACTCGTGCATCTAGTTGCTTATTTTATAAACATTTTTTTGCTTCTTTCATCGATGGTAGTCGATTTCCTTTTACGGCTCTTTCTTTTCGCAATTTTTGTTTCATCATCACAGCAATTTATCTCCATTTCATCGTTTGAATTGCTTTCTATCACATTTGTTAATTTTGCGGCCTTGCGCTTCTCTTTGGTTTGTTTCGTTTCTTTACTATGTATATCATTGCTTCGTTTGCATAAGAAAAACATCCGTGTCGTTAGATAAAATATAACAACTTGCTTGGTAACGGCTTCTTGATGCTTTTCACAGCCAACAAAAGGTATCGGAGTCAATTCTTCTAATTTCAGAGTAATAGCAAAAAGAGTATCCACATTTATTTCATCTTTTGAAATTGTTTCCATAGTGGCATACTCCAGTACAGAAATTAAATAAAATAATTTAACTGATGGATGCTTTAGAAATCCTCTCGTTTTTAGAAGAATTAGTTTGTGACGTTCTGGTGTTTCTTCACTTGGTGACGATACCAAATTTGCTGAACAATCGTTACATATCACAGGTTTTTTATTTTCAGAAAACATGGCGAACCGAGAAGCTTTTCTGCAAACATAACCAGCAATATAGCTCAAAACATATTCAGACAAATCAGATTGTGAATATCGATGATCCACCAAGGCAAGTATGTCCCCACTAAGAACTTCTGATCCAGATCCTCTGTCTAGAATACTGTCAACAATTGCTTCCCACTGTTCCTTTCGCTCATCTTCATTATCCAAATCCTTCAGGCTAAACAAAACTTCGAACATCTCTTCACCAGTAACGTTACATCCCTTAGGTGGTTTAATCAACGAATAAGTTGATACCAATTTATATACTTGAATGAAAAGGGAACAGTCTGGATGGTCATTTGACCCACAGCAATCACGCATCATCCCGAAAAATCGCTATAAGAAAAAAGCTAAATAATTATGACATATTATATGTACTTACTCCTAGATAGTACGTATGCTTGTCTGACAAACTTACAATGCAATGGCCGTGTTTTTGGCATAATAGAAAGGAAAAAAAGTTACTTCGAGACTGTCTTGATTTAAACGCGCGGTCATGAGGTATTTGAAATTACACTTCGTAATGAGAAATTCACATATTTCCAACGATGCTTTGAGGGAAATTTTCAATCCATAAGAACAATTGTCCGAAAGACATTCATAATTTTTTTCTTTTGCTACAGTTTTCCATTCTTCTAAATATTTCAAGAAATCTTCTATAATCTGGGAAATTATGTTTAATATTATACAAAAAGTCATATTTCAATATTAACATTATTTAAAAAAAAATACCTTCCAGGATTCGTTATCAGTTGTCATAGCGCTAAAAGCTGTTCTACTATTCATGGCTCTAATGAGCTTTGTTATTCTTTCACAAAACTTTATAGTACCCTCGCAATCCTCGAGGTCTTCATGCCTATTTTCGCAAATAATCAGAGCCTCATAAATATGAAAAAACTGAAATGCATTATTCTTGTTTAATATTTTCATGTATAATGTTTGATACTATTTTTTAATTAATCAAAAAAAGAGAATCTACTTATAAATGTGTAGATAATTTGTAATATACGTATATGAAATAGAAAAACCGCCACCATTATAAAATATTTCCGCGAACATCATACAGTATACTTTCTTTAAAGTTTTAGTTCATACACAATTCGAAAAAAAAAAAAATTAAAAAAAAATTTTTGAATGAAAATGTCACGTAGAATGCCCTATATATTTACCGAATTATTTTGTTTTTAAGTCCAACCTTCTTTCCATTGTAAAAATATTAATACTCACTTGAAATGCTAATGCAACATTCATCTTTTGATAATATTTTGGCTGAATGTGATCTTTTGTTAATTTGTAATTAATTTTTAAATCATAGGTTTCTTCACCTAGTAATTGTAAAAGAGCAAACCAATGCTTTAAACTGATCGATCCATCAGGGCTCTAGAATGAATATACAAAAAATTAAATTTTATTTAACAAGTAAAAGTTTATTATCTAAATTTTTTTATAAAAACACAAGAACAACAATACTGGAATTAATATAGCATGCTTACAAAAATTATTTGGTACTTGGCAAATTTTACTACAAAGTTTCTTAGAGCCTTTATTAAGTGCGGGAAGTCTGATAAAAACCAGAGTCGTCGTTGGTCATTGCAAGGATGGCATGCGCTAACAGTATCTTCTGTCACTCCAAACTGACGCCACATATTTCTGTTCCATGATGCCCCATCGGTCACTACAGCATCTATGAAAAGACCAGACTGTTCTGACAGTAGAATACCTTCTAAAATGATTTTGTGAAGAACTGTTCCACTTGCACTTCCCGTACTAAGAAAGCATGCCAATGTTTGGACCCAACGACCTTTAAACGGCTGAAACATCAGCACCAGAGCATGGTCCCCTTTTTTATTTTTTTGTTTTTCAGGGGTATAATTTCCCAAATTCGTGAAGCCTTCGACTTTTAAATTCCTACGATTGAAAGATATTCCTTTCGAAAGCTTCATTTCGTGAACTAAAAGTACTCCTGAAAAAGATAAGTTACAATATTGCAATGAATTAGTTGAAAAGCAGCTAAAATAAGTGATGTAAACGTTATACATGGGCAAAATTCTTGAACTGTCTGGGAAAAAATTTAGTAAAGATCTTCATTTTTTAATTTTTGATTAGGGCAGTTCATGAATAATGCCCCATATATATTTTTACAAATACACACCGCGTCGATCACCTGGAGACATTTGAATGAATTTTTCCCTCAAACACTTGAACACGTAAGAATGAAACCCAAACGAAGTTTTTATACGAGCCATGTACTTGGATAAAGTTGAAATACTTGGCAGGGTTAAAATATTGCGTCGGCGAAGATGTTCGTAACATTTCTTACTTTTAATTCGTAAAAGTAAACATTCGTACATCCATTGTGTTGTGTATCTTATATTTTTCTTATTTGACAGTTTCGATGCTTGAAAGCATGCTCTTACCGCAGCTTGTTGGTTTTCAGGCAATTTTGAAATAGCGTCTTCAATTATGTTTTCTTTTCCTTGTGAACATAACTGCCTTAGATGTTCACAATTTTCTCGTAACTTTTTAATCTGTTGACACAGTAACATTATATAAGATCTATTTCTTCTTAAAAATATGAATTACAAATAAAAAAATATAATTTTCTCTTACCTCTCTTTTTAATATTCTATTTTTACGTCTCACAGCCTTATATCGATTATGCAGTTTATTTTTCTGTTTCTTTAATTTCTCAACTTTGGTGGTTTGATTTTGTCTCTTTTTTACTTTAATAAGGTTTTTTTGTACAATTATTGCAAAATTTTTTCTGTCGTCCCGTTGTACTTTTTCCTTTAGGGAGAACGAAACCTTCACAATCTTCAGATCTAGTTGAAATAAGAAACAATTTATTTATTAAGAAACATGTTTATTATCTTACTTATATGCAGGGCTGCAACAATTTAAATCAACTTGATTTAAATCAGTAGAAATTAATCAGTAGAAATTATGGGATGAAAGTTTTTTTAATCATAATTTTATCTGCCCTGCTGATATGAGACCATTTTTTACACAATTACCTGCTATCATCAGTTGATTCGCATAGCAGCCATTGTGAAACAGAATTGAGCAAATGGCAAACGTCAGAGCCGTTTTTCACTTCTGGATACAACTTTTAATTTACCTTCACTCCTCCTATTAATATCTAAATTGAAAAAAGTTAAATAATGTATAATAACAATTAATTACATGAGGCATTTCATATGAAAAGGAACGGTCATGACTTGGATTTTCCTGCAAATTTGTAAAAATGTTGTCTTTCGGGTGCTTGTTTTATGCGGATTTTGATAAGCTTTGAAGAAATACATATAAAATTTTTCTAACTTTATTTTTTTTTAAAATACTTCATTTTCTATTAATTTTTATTAATTAACAAATTAATATCTCAGAAACAAAAAAATAAGCCACCTCAAAAATTTTACTATCGATTCATTGTGTCTTCAACAATATTCATGATTTTTTTCACGCTTGAAAAATAGGGAGAACAGGTTTAAAAGTTGATAACAAATTTTATTTTTTCAATAAATTAATGAAAAATCCAAGTCATGACCGTTTCTTTTCATATGAATTGCCTCACATGACTTATAAGGGCACATATTTATATACTTCAGAATTATATTAACTTACTGAACAAAATATATTACCTCTGTTGTCATGTCATTTTTTAAAATAATTCTTTTTGACCTCCACTTTTCATCATTTAACCAGCAGAACCAGTGAACAAATTTTTCATCAGCACACTTTTGCAGAAACCAGTGGCTTGACGGTAATGGAAATTGTTCACAATTTTTTAAAACGTTATTAAAATTTGCAAGATTTAAAAATCTTTCAAAGTTCACAGTAACTTCATTCTCGGGGTGAATGACTTTTTTCTCAACTATCGTTGGAAAAATTGAAGGTACAGCATTTTTTTTAAACCTTTTTTGCACACTGGTATCGTATGCACAACACCATTACTTAAAAGAGTAGTAAAATTGTCTATCAAGTCATCTTTTTTAAAATGTTTCTCGCACACTATACTAGATTTCTTTAAATTTTTTTTTTTTTGTAGGAATGACCTTCGACCAACTGCATAATCTTTCATCCTTATAAAATAATTAAAAAAAAGAAACTAAATATAAATGTAAATAAAAAATAAATTTCAATGAAAATAAATAAAATGAATATATAAATAAAATGAATCCATTTTTAATTATCGTTACTATAAAAAAATTCTTAGTGTTTCAAGTGTTTTCAGTACAAAAAATATAAGTGAAACAAATAAGAAAAAATATATACAATCAATAAATGAAATTTACTAAAAGGATATCTAAAAAAAATAATTCACGTAAAAATATGACATTCTTTAAATTAATGACAATAAATTAAAAAATTAATAAACTAGTAAAATTACATAAACTCGATTTCAGCCTATTTCAAAATTATCGCAATTTAATTAAAGTTCATTGACAGTCATTATTGAACTCTTTAAATAAGTATAATATGAGATTAGGAGACGAGTATTTAGATAAGGATATAGAAAACAACATTGAAGGTGAATAAGGCATCTATATGAGAATTATTAGATTTGACTTAGCTTTATGGAATATAATACATCGAATCGAATATTGTATTGTTTATATCACGAATTTCAGTTTCTTGTTATATCCATTTCTCCTTATATAAGTGCGTGCAATATTTCAAAAATAAATTTCAAATTTGTATTATTATTTATTATTATTACGGCTAAATTATTAATTAATTATTATAAATAATTAACTTTTAAACTAATAGATATGCTTAAAAAAATTGTATTATAAACAAAAAACTTACTGTACACACACGAAAAAAACTTGTATTTTCGCTATTTCCTCTGGCATATGAACAACCGTCAACAATACACAGTGATGGTATTGAAACAAATTTTCATTTAGAAAATAATCAGCCACACTTTTCACAACTTTTTTCAAAAATTAATCACAAGGGAACAGTGGGATGACAAATGAGCTTTGCCGCCAAAGTGATTTATTTTTGTAGTTCTTCAGTTTCACTCACGCGCGCTGTCATCGCTTAGTGCCTTTTTCAGCTCTAAAGCTAATCTAAAAGGTGGGGATCACTTTTACTGAAAATTCCCACTACCGTTGGATCTCCTTATACTACTTCGTGGTCCTAGGTTATACGTATATAAAAAAATACTTCCTTTTATTTAGCTTTTTGTATTTGATAACATTGTCATTAATATTGTCATAGATGTTGATTTTGTTTATATATACTGATCTTTATTTCATAAAAATAATAATGTTCTATTGAGAAATTTCTCAATGATTACAAATAAAATAATAAAAAATCGAGCTTTCGCCTCTCTAAGAAAGGCTTTTTCAAGATAACGGTTTTAAAACTGTAACATAACAAGTTAAAAAGTTATAAAGATTACGTCGGAATAAGTCAAATTATCAATATTGCAGACGATTCTAACCTATACGTACCATGTGAGCATTTACACTTTGTTCCTTTCGGAAACTTAAAGGCATATCAATTTATATTTTTTCATAAAGTAAGAGTAAAAAATTGTATTTGTGTTTAAGCATTAATATTTTTGGATAGAGAACTTGGTATTTGTGAAAAACAATTGTTTTTGCAAGAACACACATCTCCAAGTCTCTTAATGACATGTGTAAATACATATTATATAATTCATATCACTAGTTGGTCGATGTATTATAACCTACGTCTCGTTCACAGCAATATTTCGTCGCACATGTCATTAACTCGGCATCACATCACCCGGCAACAATAAGTTGTTCAAGATAAATTTTGAAAAAGATAAAAAGTTTAAATAATGGATATAAATATTTTTTATTATTATTCTTAATTTGAAATTTTTAAATTTGAAGTATATTGAAAATTAATAATTTTTAATTGTTTCATGAATTAATAAGATTATGATAAATGTCACTTAGGCCATTAATGTTCGATCTAGTATTAACAGACTTTCTTGATTTGACTATGAAATACATTTCTTTAAATAATCTCTTTCATAGATTCTCTTCAGTACATAATATTCTAGCATTATCAAACTTGAACAAGTGATCGGAACCGTGTGAGTGATTTACAAGACTGGATATTCTTTTGTCATTCTTGCAATCACGTTTGTGTTCATTCATTCTATTTTTAAGATATCTATTCGTTTGGCCAATATAAACGCATCCACAACTGCATGGAATGCTATATACAACATTAATCCTCAATTCATGAGGGGTTAAGTCTTTGTTCTTTGAAAAACATTTAAAGGGATCTTTATAATAATAGAACATTATTCTTACATCAAATTCCTTAAAGGTTTCGTTCAAAAATACATGTAACTCATCCACATATGGCAATGTTATAATTTT